TTCAGTAAAGCCACCTGTTTGTGTAGAGAGAAGCAGCTGGAGTCCCCTGCAGGGGTGACGCCAAGATCGACACACAGCCGATGCTCTGCCACTCCTGATTTAGTGGCATGTGCCAAGTCGGAGTAGCATGCCTGCAGTGTCCCACCTTTGCTTTAGTGTCATATGTTCAACCTCTGTGGTATGCAACTATAAATAGTAGGTGCTTTCTCATCCCTTTGCCCTCATTTTTGTTATTTTTTCTTAATAAATTTGATTTCATAACCTCCTAGCTTTAATAATCATACTAAAAGATAATATCAAAACAGGACCTTACCACCACACACTTATAATAGACAACAAGAAAAATATTTTTTAAAGTGGTAGTCTGTGAGTTTTAATCCTGTGTTCTGAACAAGTGTTGTGTGGTTAAAGTTATAAACCCTGTGACACAGAAAATATTTTGTCTTGTACAGGGGATGAGAGTATGGGATGCTTGTTGCCATGGAACTGGTGACCTTGTTACCTTGGTAACAACCAGCAATGCTCTTCAGTGCTTCAGTGGCCAATGAGGGATTTGTGCAAGGATGTAGTTACAACTGCTGAAGTGATCATTTCCTTTCCCGTTTGGATCAGTCAGCATATACTGCGACAACATTTTGTCAGTGATATACTGTATATGTTTTGATTTTGATACGATATGTAACAGTAACTAAGACTGATCCATGTTCACTATACAGCACAATCACTGCATCTGTATAGCTTTTTCACAGCAGACATTTTGACTTGTTAGAGCAGGAAAACCTCAGGTGTAAATAATACATTTACTGATGGCTCACTTCCATTCAGCTGCCTCAGTTTCAGGCTCCTGGTGGTGCACAGGCTGGTTCACTATAACATTGTCATATTGTAACTTACTGGGACACTTGAAAAGAACGCCTTCTTTCACTACTATAACAAGTCACAATGTATTACAATTTGGTAATAACACCATTTCACAAGACAGTAATCATGGAGCATCAGTACTCTGAACTGGTCTCCTGTTCTCCCATCTCCTAAACCATGTGGGATGACTCCATTGAATGTCAGGATGACATCGACACATTGTTAATACTTGCACCGTCCTGCCAATAGAAGCAGGAGGTGGACACCATAGCAACAGATGTATTCTGTGTGTGTGTGTGCCCAGAGGTATGATCAAAGTTACAACTTTGCTTGATGTCTGAAGCATTGCCCAAGAATAAGCTTCTGCTGAGGTGAAGGAAGACAGGCAACTGTGCCATGGGTGTGCTCTGTTCTGTACTTATGTAAGTGTGCGTATTTCCTTTCATGTGTGAAAGATTACCACCCTGCTGTTAATCACCAAACTCAGTCAGGCCTGTATGACTATATCCATCAGTGTCGTGCGCCTGTAGGTTGGTTCTGTGCATTATAAACCTCCTTCAGCATCATGGGGACGTCATTCCTCATGTCAGTGTTTCATGTTTATAACTGTCACTGAGTAATAGATCACTGAGCAGCTGAGCTCCTCTGACTGTCTAATGAGACACTTATCAAACTCTTTTTCTAAGGTTATGTCATGAAACACGTTAGTGCAGTTACTGTTAATTTTCCCAAAGTTACTGATGTTTTTGCTCTTTCACAAAATATTGAAAATTCCTTATGTGGATGAATGAATGATTATTGATTTTTTGATTGATATTGATATTCTGCTGTTTTTCAGACACCGCCATGGAAGACCATTCGCTGGAAAACAACTTAATGTGTATACAACAATAATCAGCAATGCACAGCTTCTTCCTGGTTGATATCCCCTAATAATAGCTGCTATGGCTTTTTGTAATGAAAGCCTGCTGGAGGAGTGTGACTTCATGGAGCCAGACAATGCAGAGGAAGCAGCAGAAAGCCTCCCATCACAAGCTGCGACTCCTCTCATATCAGTCACTCTGCGCGTGACCCTGGCAGCCATAATGATCTTCATGATTACTATTGGTTTCCTTGGCAACGCAATTGTGTGTCTGATTGTTTACCAGAAACCTTCCATGCGTTCTGCTATCAATCTCCTCCTTGCCACATTGGCCTTCTCAGACATTATGCTCTCTCTGCTCTGTATGCCCTTCACTGCAGTCACTGTGGCCACCTCTGACTGGAACTTTGGGAGCGGGTTCTGCCGAGCCTCCATCATGCTGTACTGGCTGTTTGTCCTGGAAGGGGTGTCCATCCTCCTCATAATAAGTGTAGACCGATTCCTCATCATTGTGCAGCGGCAGGACAAGCTGACCCCACATAGAGCTAAAGTGCTGATTGCAGCTTCATGGGTGTTGAGCCTATGTGTGTCCCTGCCGTCCGTAGTTGGGTGGAGGACAGGTGCAGCAGGGATTGGGGGTGCCTGGGCACAGCTGTGTGTGCTGGGATACAGTGAGTCTCTGGCAGACCGTGGATACACAGTGCTATTGGCAGTAGCAGTATTTTTTGTACCATTTGCAGTCATGCTGTACTCTTACATGTGCATTATCAACACGGTGCGTCGTAACACCCTACGCATCCACAACAACACCAGTGAGCATTCATGCCTACCAGCCCTCAACCAAGTCCTACCAGCCCTCAACCAAGTCAGCAAAATGAGACTTACTGGGCTGCAGCGGCCTCCTCAGATCAAGATAGACATGAGCTTCAAGACCCGAGCCTTCACTACCATCCTAATCCTCTTTGTTGGCTTCTCGGTGTGCTGGTTGCCACACACTGTGGTCAGCCTGCTGGCCGTGTTCAGCCGGCAGTTCTACTACAGCTCAGTCTTCTATCCAGTCAGCATCGGTGCTTTGTGGCTCAGCTACCTAAAGACAGTCTTCAACCCTGTCATCTACTGCTGGAGGATCAGGAAGTTCAGGGAGGCCTGTCAGGAGTTCATTCCCAAAAGCTGCAGACTGTGTCCCAGAGTGCCAGGCAGGAGCCGCAGAAGAGTGAGGCCCAGCAACATTTATGTGTGCAGTGAGACTCAGTCAGCTGTGTGAGAGAAGGAGGAGCACTTTGGTAGATGCACAAACCAGCAGCTTTTGACACTGCTATCAGCTCTTTTTAACTCATAATTCTACTCATTATAAGCAAAGATAGACCACTAAAGTTCACATTTAAAATAATGTACTAGTTGGTGAAAAAAATCATCTCACCACAAGAATGAACTTTGTCTTTTTACATTTAAGGCAACATGGATGAGAAGTCCTTAAACTGCTCAGGGAAATGGACATTTGAACATCTACAATTCCAGTGGCAGCACCAGCTGCTGAAGAACATCATGTGTTACTAGCTACTAAACAGACCTTGTGGTGGGGTAATTTTGTCTGAAAGACCAAGAATGAATTTTCAGTCTGAAAATATACTTGTTGGCTTAACCTCATAGCCATTATAGCTTCTAAAACTTACTGTCATTCAATTAATTCCGCATCCAGTCAGTTGACCTGTCTGTTTCATCATTTGTCACTGAATTGTTTAATTGATGTTATTCTGTTGTGTGAGACTGTAAACTCAATGTTCTGTCAATGAATAGTAGTGATAATTATTCATTTATGTGGTAGGTTTCACAAAAAGCACATACATAGTATTAACATTCAGCAGTGTTCTCAGAGGAAAGTCTCACAGCTTTAAAATTTAATTCAATTTGTGCAGAAAAAACAAAACCTTTGTCAGTTGAAACTGTTATTTTGAACCATGATTGTGTCAACTAAGAAGTAGGTCAGTTATTGTGCTGTGAATGTTTACTTGAATGATGACACTACGTAAATAAATGGAGTTCTGAAATGAAGATACCATGATATACTGCAGCCTTTGAATTAAAAGTACATTCTAGTCAGCAGTGAGCTGCTTTTGCAATGTACACAGGGTCATAATGGAAATAGGTTGCTGGGATACTAAAGATGTCTATTCACTGTAGATAAGTGGCTCCATTTATGTAACACTTTGATCCAAAGCGCTTTACAATGTGTCTCATTCATTCACACACCAGTGAGCTAACATGCAAGGTGTTGGTCTGACAAGGCAGTTGGATGTCACTGTCTTGACCATGAACGCTTCAACATGCTGAACTGTGGTTAGTTGGGATCCCGCTCTACCTCCTGAGCCACAGTCACACCACATCAACTTCCCCGAAGACAACATACACAGCAGACTGCAACAACAAAACGAAATAGCAGTTGTTAGTGTACTGTACTTTTGATTCAACTGTGTGTGGCATTTTGATAAATTATTACTGCATTCACTACCAAATCCTATTTGCCTGCCAGTGTATTTGACCATGGTTCAAATACACTGGCAGCCAAATAGGATTTGTATTGTTGTGCAGCAGAAAACAGAGAGATGGTGCTGTTCTTTCATTGCAAATTAATTTAGCTTGCTTGCACTGAATTTCGAGCCTCATCATCAGACAGATTTTCCAATTTGTTTTACTGAATTCATTCATCATTTTGTTGGAATTGCTATAAACAGATCTTAACAGTGATCCAGAACAACATGTTTTTGATCTCATGTTTGCATGACTGCCCTAATGTAATCACTTAACCTAGGGCTGGATCTAACAATTACTTTAATTAAAGGTGTCAGGAGCGGGAACATCTTTACTCTGATCTGAGACTCAGACAAATGCTGGTAAATTCCCTCAGAATCTTTTACAGTTGTAAAACACATTATTTAAAGACAAGTTGGGCCTGTTGTTATAATAAACATGATAAATTATATGGTATGTTCCAAGACACTTTTTAGGGCCCCTGGTAATACTCAGTCTGGAGTCCTCTTGCGTGAAAAAAAGTTAAACCCTAATCTTTGAAACTGAGTTCTGATTGGAGATGTTTTGCTGTTCAATAGAAAGGCTGTTTTGTGCTGTGATGAACAGTACCCAGCACTTTCTGTCCACCAATGGGTAACCTAAATTAGTAAGAAACCGAAAGCTCTTCCTGTCTTTATCACTGTAATCTTTAAGCCTATCTTATAAATAACACAAATAGGCTAATACATAGGGTATATTTTCTTCAAATCAAATAAGTTTACTTGTTAAATCTGCACAGTGTGTTAGTAATAGTAATTTCTTTTTTATTTTCAAATAGTAAACTAGACTATGTAATGTTACATTTTTCACATAGCTGCTATACCGCCTTTATAGCAATGTTATCAGCTATTAAAGTGATGTTTTTCTTATTTTGTCATGACTTGGTGCTGGCAGAAAGAGATGTACATTTGTAGGATAGATATTTAACAAGTTTGTATTGTAGCCTACTTCTATTAAATTTATCGGGATAATAAATTCGAATGAAAAAGCCACATTTTTGGCAATGAATGTGAGAAAATAGGAATTCAACTTCCATCTAGTGGTCAGATTTCAGATATGCCCAATCTGTTGTATCACAAACTGTAGAAGAAGAAGTGACCTGGCGCGGGGCATGTCGGGATACATTAGCATTAAATATGGCAGTTTGCACGGAGCAAGATGGAAAGGTTGTTTGTGCTTCAGATGCGGGTCTTTTATTGCATCCTGAGCTGTTGTCGCAAGAGTTTATGCAGATCATCCTGAATGAGGTGAGTCACTGCTTAAAGAGAAACGTAGACAGTATCATTCAGTGTGGAGTTAACTGATGAACACCGTGATGCTA